ATATATATTTTTATATATATATATATATATATATATATATATATATATATATATATATATATATATATATATATATATATATATAAAGAGAGAGAGAGAGAGAGAGAGAGAGAGAGAGAGAGAGAGAGAGAGAGAGAGAGAGAACTTTTGAATTAGTTTTGTATGAGGAAAGTGCAACAAGCATTATTATAATAAGAGATTTGTTGCATCGATGCCACCTTTTGGGTTAACAATGTTCATGTTCTCAAGGCGAGATCTATTAGAAATTAAAGTTAGCCATAGAAACTTCGTTTGGAATTTCAAAGTTTCAACCAAACCCCATTAATTTATTTAATTTATTAATTAAAACACCAGAAAGAAAATTAGAGGGAGCAATTTCTTGAACCAAATAAAAAATAGGAAAAGAAAAAAAGGGTTCACATAATTCAAAAGATACCGGAAAGCGATAACTTAGATGCAAAGATGCAAGACCATCTCTTATTTTGTGATGAATGTTTTGCTTGGGGATATTATAGTGTGTGCATGGGTGCACATGCTCCACACACACATATATACATACACACTTGATACAATATATATATCATGTCAAAGTATCAAAAATCACTTTCATGGCCAATATCATTAAAAATATGACATGACAATGGAGTACATACACTTGACACGAGACTTGAATCTCGACTTGGATATTTGAACTACCTACTATATCCATAACAACTTCATCATTGGATTGGATTGGATTTTCATCAACTATACAAATTGACACGTGTGTACATACATAGGGCTGGTTCCGACTATAACCGAGAAAGACGGTAGCCTAGAACCCCAGTTCGTTTAGAAAAAATATGGTTCATCAAATTTTTTTTTATACTCCTTATGTATATTAGTTGTGGTATTAATTGATATTTAAAATGTATTAATAGTTCTACAATTTGAATAATTAATCATAATAACTATATTATTTCACATAGTTTAAATATTTATTAGATAATTGTATACTTATTATTACATTCATCACAACTATATTGTTTGACATAGTTTATATATTTGTAGAATTTTCATACTTATGCTTGCATTTCATGTAATGAAATGTCAATTAATATCCTCTCGAAAAAGAAAAAAAAAGTGTATTAACATCAGTTGAATACTGAGTTTTTTTTATCTATCTCCTCTAACTTCAAAGAATTTCAATAATTTGAAAATACTATATTTAAATTTTATTATATTTAAACCAATTTTACATATATTTACTTGTTTAATACACTTTATATGGGTACTTCAAGAAAAAACTTTGGTACTTCAAGAAAATAAAATCAGTCAGATACTGAGAAATTTTCTGAATTGATACAACCCGAGGTAGGTTAAATAAGGGCAGTTGTGCCGTCGACTTTTTTTGTTTCTCTCTCTAAAGCTATTCACAGAAAATTGTTAAATTAAATAAAATACTTGCATATTTTAATTAAAATAGTATAAATTTATAGTAGTATTGCACATATAATTAAGAATATTTGGTCTACGATTAAATAAGTATATATATAATATATGTATATATGATTGAAGTGATGAAATTAAAGATATGGAGCAATAGTCCCATTCAAACAGGCTGGTGGATAGCAGTAATCATACACACAGCCAGCTTTATCAATACATATATAGACCACTCATTCATACGTACGTGAGCCATGCATATTAATAATGTCAATCAATAATTATAATATATCACGTATATATATATATATATATATATATATATATATATATATATATATATATAGAGAGAGAGAGAGAGAGAGAGAGAGAGAGAGAGAGAGAGAGAGAGAGAGAGAGAGAGAGAGAGAGAGAGAGAGTTGGTTGGTCTGGACAATTAATAATTTAATTGAATTGGTTGCTTTTAACAGGGTAAATGGTCCTCGAAACGGAATGTATGTTCAAATAATTGCTACTAAAAATACCACAATTCTGCAATAATTACAATGTACAATTTAACTAATGTACTAAATACCACTCATAAAAGAAAAATATGCTTGTGCTATTGTGCAGGACCATGTTGGACGACACAGTTAAAAGAGTATGAGAAATAAATTTCACGACGACAAGGAATCATCAATTAAGTATGTTATGTATTATTGGACTGAGGACCACTTCTATAGGGTTATCATTACTATCAATGAAAATGAATGCATGGGCACAGAAACGAAGAGACGAGAAATAAAATCGACAGAGGGTCGAACGTGATATTTAATCATACATGCGTAATTGACTATATAATTTATATACGTCAAACATGTATACGTTATAGATGAAAAAAATTACTCAAACGTAAATTTTCCAGATTGATCCGCGAGAAAGAGATGAAAAAAATGTTCCATTCCTACGTGGGATGAACTACAAGTTGATTCAGCCCAGCTGTTGTTATTGCTCTCACTATATATAAAACTTAAAAATAAACCATCACCGTTGAAAACGAATAAGCATATAGTCAATGCATCGCTTCGCTATTCATTTCGTCTCTATCTTCGGGCAGCAACTTTGGATTCCATTCTTGCCCCATTAACCAAGTTCTTGATGGATATGAATCTATATTATTGATTGCTGAGGAGTCTAAGTGCTAGTAGAATATAACTAGATACCGTATAGTTGAACAAGTTGGGAATATATTCGACGAAAATTGTTCCTTACTGCCATATAAGAAAGACCACTAAAGCTCTATTTGCACTATCAAGTTTCCAAAATAAGCGCTTCCTGTCGCATTCGAGTGTAGAAAAAAATGGCTCAACTTCATAAACTCGAGCTACAAACTCAAATAACATCACGCCCAGAGAAATTTTTCGACCTCTACAAGAACAAAACATATCTCATGCCAAAAATCAGTCCCGACAAACTACAGAGCATTCGTGTTCTTGAAGGAGATGGAAAGAGCCTCGGTTCTGTTAGGCTCTGGACTTACGTCATGGGTAACAAGATTCTAACTATATACACTACCTATCAAATTAGAGAAAAAGATCCATTTTCACGGTTAAAATTCGTGTGTTTTTTTTTCTTCAGGTATTCCTGTGATTGCGAAAGACAAGATTGTTGCTGTTGATGAAGTGAATAGGTCGATCACATTTGAGCTTATCGGTGGAGAGGTTACAAAATACTTCAACAGTTTCAAGGCCACACTCGAGGCTACTACAGAGGGCAATAAAAATATAATAAAATGGAGTCTCGAATACGAGAAGATGTCTGAAAGTGTGCCGAATCCACACTCTCATCTCGAATTTCTGGTTACTATGTCCAAAGAGATTGATACTTACCTTATCAAAGCATAGGAACAATCTATGATATTTGTGCCTTGTTGCTTTTTGTTTAATGTGTGCTCACCTATCATATAAGTTGAATCAATAATATGTATCATGTGTGTTTATCTTATCAATTCGAAGATAATTTGCTTTTTATATACACACAAAATTGCATATCTGTGGGAATCTCGGTTCACAAACTAATGAATATGTTAAGAACAGAAATTCGTGTTTACTTACATTTTGTGTCTTCAAAGTCTCCCGTTTCTGGCATACTTGTCGATTTCAGAAATATCGAGGATTTTATCAAAGCCACTAGCTACAAGAAACCTGGCAACAGAAAAATAAAATAAAAAATTGTATTAGTATTAATTATGTTACAAGGAAATTTCAATGCCGAGAATTTCAAATGATTTCGATGCTTACTTATCTCTAAGAGCTATTGTCATGGATTGGCAACCTCCTGGGATTGTGGACTGAAGATTAACGGCTATATTTGGGTTGTGAATACTCTGCCTTAAGTGCATCCACCCATGTTCTCCCTTTTCTGCCTCGGAAACTTTGGCCCTGGGTTTATTACATATCCATCCAACTAAGAATATGCAGCAATAGTTCTGTAATCTCGAAACTCGGCTACAATTTTTCTGAAATTTTTTGACGAGATCTTACCTGTACATAAGGGCATCAATGGCAGCTGGAGTGTCGTTGGAGTCGACGAGGCAGCCTTCACTCACCCAGCAATCTCCACAAGAATCCATTTCCCATCCTTCTAATCTACCTTCCTGTTGATTAAAAAGAAAAAGTAAAGACATTATTGTTTCGGTGAAAAAGTAAATACACGAAACTGGTTCATGATAAATTTATTACCTCAACGTAATTCTTGAATTCCTCGATAATCTCGACAGCGTTTGCCTTTGCAAATCTAAGCTCAGACTGAATGTTCATTCTGAGCTCCACCGATTCGAGCGGCTCTTCAAGATCCTTTATTAGGCTCCCAATCCCTTCTTCCGAACCTTCAAGTTTCATTCTCACCATTTCGATTATTATCTTTACCACCATGTAAGCACCTGTTGTAAATTCCACACTCAGAAAGACAAACCCCCCAAGAATCACTCAACCACAAAGAATACAGAATCGGCTTCATTTGAATTAATATATCCATTGAACCTAAAACCACTAATTCAAGTTACATTCTAGGTCATTGAGATCAAATTAAAATCCCCAAATCATCTCTTCAAATTCAACGATTTCATCAAAATGCAACAGCCTTAAAGAAATTTCAGAATGATGTGTTCATGTGTTTTACTGGAAATGATAGACGAATCTGATAATTTACTAAATATCAACCTCAGACAAGACAAAACGCACACACACACACCAGAGACTTTAGATTTCATAGCATCGTTGAGAGAGTGATTTCCTTGTTTTCGACTTCATTTGGATTAATAAATCCATCGAACCTAAAAACACTATTCCAAGCTACATTCTAAGTCATTGAAATCAAACTCAAACCTCCAAATCATCTCTTCAAATTCAATCATTTCATCAAAATGCAGCAGCCTTAAAGAAAATTTCAGAACAATGTGTCCATGCGTTATAGTGGAAATGCTAGACGAATCTGATAATTAACAAAATATCAACCTCAGACAAGACAAAACACACACACACACACACACACACACACACACACACACACACACACACACACACACACACACACACACACACACCAG